GAAAGAAAGGTGATTTAAGTGACTTTGAATGTGGCATGGTTGTTGGTGCCAGATGGGCTGGTCTGAGTATTTTAGAAACTGCTGATCTACTGGGATTTTCGCGCACAACCATCTCTTGTTCCATTCCATTGAACCATCCCAGTGAGTGGCAGTTCTGTGGGCGCAAATGCCTTGTTGATGCCAAAGGTCAGAGTAGAATGGTCAGACTGGTTCGATTTAATAGAAAGGCAAAAATAACTCAAATAATCGCTCATTACAACCAAGGTATGCAGAAGAGCATTTCTAAATGCACAACATGTCCAACCTTGAGGAAGATGGGCTACAGCAGCAGAAGACCACATTGGGTGCCACCTCTGTCAGCTAAGAACAGGAAACAACAATTCGCACAGGCTCAACAAAATTGGACAATAGAAGATTGGAAAATCGTTGCCTGGCCTGAAGAGTCTCTGTTGTGACAGTTGAATGGTAGGGTCAGAATTTGGCATTAACAACATGAAAGCATGGATCCATCCTGCCTTGTATCAACTGTTCAGGCTGCTGCTTGTGTTGTTATTGTGTTGTTATTGTGTGGGGGATGTTTTCTTGGCACACTTTGAGCCTATTAATATCAATTGAGCATTGTGTCAATGCCCCAGCCTACCTGTGTATTGTTGCTGACCATGTCCATCCGTTTATTACCACAGTGTACCCATCTTCTGATGGCTACTTCCAGCAGGATAACGTGACAATGAGTTGACAGTCCACAAATGGTCTCCAGAGTCACCAGATCTCAATCCAATAGAGAATCTTTGGGATGTGGTGAAACAGGAAATTCGCATCATGGATGTACAGCCAACAAATCTGCAGCAACTGCGTGATGCTGTCATGTCAATATGGACCAAAATCTCTGAGGAATATTTCCAGTACCTTGTTGAATCTATGCCACGAAGGATTAAGGCAGTTCTGAGAGCAAAAGAGGATGCAATCTGGTACTAGAAAGGTGTACCTAATAAAGTGGCCGATGAGTGTGTATTGAAAGGCTGTGACTGAGACAGAGGATAAACAATATCATGTGTACATAATGGCTTCTAAAAAGCAACTAAATTATGTAAACAATGCCTCTTTAAAACAGTTGAAGAAACACCGAATGAAGTTGTAAGGAAGGCAGTTCTTGTTTCCGTGCTGAATTTGATCAGTGAGATCTTGCAAACAAACATCCTGAATAGTGAAGTGGGCATCAGTCAATGTCATTCAACAAATAAAATCATTCTGTTGCGATGCTTACTCTCCCCTCCTTGTCCACAAACCCAGATAGACAAGTATGAATATGTATTGGCCGTGCGATAATAGAGAAGCCAGGATTTTCTTAAACAGCACTTTTTTTGACAAGGATGCTGGGTAAGGAACAACAAAAGCAACGATTGTTTTCAATACCAGCCTTATCTCAGCCTTAATATCCATCAATAACAGTAAAGGATGTCTCTGGATCAGATTGGGCCTTATTTGTGGAGGGAAAGTTGTCACAGAATCTTGAGGAGGGGTGACAGTGTCTTTGTGTAAATGTGTGTACAGTATATGTGGGTGTGTGAATGTGGGTAGCACCCACATCCAAGGCACGAGCTCAGTCTGTTATGTGTGAGCTGTTTGACAGGGAGAAAAAGAATACCACCACGCACATCCCACTCGCAGACACGCTTTCCTGCACAAACAAGCTCACCTGCTTATTCCAACTTACATTCACATACCTTGAAAGCTGAAGTGTGTGGTGCTGCAAGAAACACCCAGTACAAAATTAAACTGATTGTTTTCAAACAGGTTTCCCTTTCAACACTCTACAAACTGGTGAGATGAGCAGAGTGCCCCGCCCCTAAATTCAAGCTATTGGCTAAGCCACTGTTGCCATGCGAGGAACGTTGGAATTCTCAAACAAACAGAGCAATGTTTTGATGGGGCCACAGAGATGCGTGTTTACACTTTTTTTCTGGGAAGTTGTCCTGCTAATGGCCTTCTTTTAGTTATCTCTGCATATTAAGCTAGACGGAAGCATTCGAAAACTGATTGTTTCCAAACAAGTTTCCCTTTCAACACTCTATCAACTGGTAAGACGTGCAGAGTGCTCCGCCCCTAAATTCAAGCTAGTGGCTAAGCCAGTGTTGCCTTTCAAGGAAGGTTAGAATTCTCACATGAACAGAGCAATGTTTTGATGGGGCCACAGAGATGCAGTGTATTATTTTTCTGGGAAGTTGTCCTGCTAATGGCCTTCTTTTAGTTATCTCTGCATATTAAGCTAGACGGAAGCATTCAAAAACTGATCGTTTTCAAACAGGTTTCCCTTTCAACAGTCTACCAACTGGTGACATGAGCAGAGTGCCCCGCCCCTAAATTCAAGCTATTGGCTAAGTCACTGTTGCCTTGCGAAGAGACGGTTGGAGTTCTCAAACAAACAGAACAATGTTTTGATGGGGCCACAGAGATGCGGTGTTTACACTTTTTTTCTGGGAAGTTGTCCCGCTAATGGCCTTCTTTTAGTTATCTCTGCATTTTAAGCTAGACTGAAGCATTCGGAAAAAAAATTATAGACTCTAGCTTTAATTAACAAGCTGGGCGGTAGTCAAATGCGAGTCCTGCTCATTGCCTTGGCCTCCTTCGGGGGAAATATATCCTTTCTCTTTTTCCTCTCTAGCTGTAATTTAACCAACGGGGGCACGATCACTGATGCCAAGCAACGTGTCCTTGAATGATAATGAAAAGCCATGAAGCAGATGCAGAAATGCTAGTTTACAATGTTGTTTACTCTGTAGGCACCTCGAATGTCATAACACATGCTCACATATTGAATTTCCTCTCCTCCGATACCAAGTAAACAATGATGCATGAAATCATTTGTTGGTTTGTTTTCTTTTGTAGCATGCTTCTAAAAGCTCTACTGTACCGTCTCCCGGAAAGGGCTGCAAACAAACAAATAGGCTGCTGACAGTCACGGCCGTCACTCTGCCGTCAGTGCGTGAGTCAATGTTAACCAGGCAGTACGTTAAAATGAGACCGCACGATGTTCTCCTCACCTGTTTCCATCACTGTAATTATAGTCTAACCGTGTTTTTCTCTCTTTGCTGTCAGTTTTCAGTCTCTTCCCGGTGTCTTTCAGCAAAACTCAGTCACGCTTCCCGAAGCTAGACAGACAGACATAGAGGATTGAATCTTGGCAGCTGTCACACCGGAGCTGGCGTACACTCTAGATGAAACAACATCAAGATCATTCTGCAAAAGGCTTATTTGATGCTTCTCAGCTTGTGCGTTTGTTGTTTCCTTTTGTGAAGCGTCATTATCATGGTATGCCTCGTCAAAATTACGTTAGCGTATCGCAGGAGAGAGAAGTGATCACAGAAGCAGATCTCAGAATTGAGCAATTTTCTGGCGAGCGTGCCCAATAAATGGCGTGATGCTGCTGGTAAATGGAGATGAGCCTGTTTGCAGCTTCGGAGGTGTGCTGTTTTTGTATTCACACATGGGAAGACAACAGTTGTTGGCTTGAAATGGGAAAAAAAAATAAAGGACAAGAGAGATGCTAAGAGATTAGTATATGTCAGAAATGCTTTTGCTGGAGGGCAGCTGGTGTTCTTTGTGGCTCTTCTTCACACAGATTCAGAGCACATTGCTACTTTGGAAAGAAGTCCCCTGTTTCACATAGATCTCGCAGTAAGAGTCTAGTGAAATGCCGCCTTCTTTTCCATACAGTCCCATAGCTCAGCGGGGATGTGACATAAATGTCAAGACTGTGTTATCTGTGCGAGTGCAGGCACCACTGAGCTCTGGACAGACCCGCCTTGTTTTCCCTATATTCCTTCTTCTTCTTCTTCTTTCTTGTCCTATCACCCCTCCCTTCTTTACTTCATCTTTTTCCTGCATGGGGCTAATTTATAACATTTCTGGCTATGCTCGTTTCAAATGCTGAGTCAATCTCCCTGTGAATATGACAATGATGGATGGACACATGGATGCAGTATTATAAATGGGTTGGCATGACATATCAAGCTGTGACAGCAGTGCCCTGCAATATGACTGCTTTAATTATTTTTCTGCATCTTGTATAATTAGGTAAACACACTTTTTTATGACTACGTATTAGTTGAAGGATTTGTACTTATAAAAACAAGAATTTGTCACACCTCAGGACTAGTAAAATGCCCATTCTGCTTTACTGAATAGACCTAAATGTTATTTTATGTGGCAGGGAAAAAAGTAATGCCGGTGTGAAAATAAAAGGTGAATAAATGACTCAGAAGTCTGACATATGCATTTGTGAGCTGTAAATACATTCAAAAATGGTATTGCATATAAAGGGTGCCAGAATATGGCATATAGAAATATACTGTATATTTACCCTTAGCCTTTATTCATACATATACAGCCATATATAAATATAGTTATTTTTTCTATTTTAATAAAACTGAATTTTCAGCAGTCATTATCCCAGTCTTCGTTGTCACATTTTCAGAAATTAGTCTAATATGAAGATTTATTGCAACTGGGAAAAAATATATACGTATCTGAATGCTGAAAACATATAAGAGGAAACATGGGCAACTCTGAGGAATTTCAGCAGCACGGTGGCTCAGTGGTTAGCACTGTCGCCTCACAGGAAGAAGGTTGATGATATGTATGTGAGGCCCCGTTTAGCCACTGACTAATACATTTGTGAATAAATGAATGAGTGAGTGAGTGAGTGAGTGAGTGAGTGAGTGAGTGAGTGAGTGAGTGAGTGAGTGAGTGAGTGAATGAATGAATGAATGAATGAATGAATGAATGAATGAATGAATGAATGAATGGTTCCGTTTTTCAGATTCAAAGTGTTTCATTTAAAGAACAGTGTTTGAGTATTTAAAATATAATTCTCAAAATAAAATGGAAAAGATAATAAATGAGACTTAAAAAAATGATAAGGTGTGTTTTTTTAGGATTATAACATACATAATTTATATTCCAATAATGAAATGCTGAACATTCTTCTTCTTCTTTTGCAGGTGTAAAGAAGGTTACCGTGGACTTCGTTGTGACCAGTTTGTCCCGAAGACTGACTCCATCCTATCTGACCCAAGTATGTACCATCTCTCTGTTTACTTTGAGGAAAAATATGAGAGAATACTTTTATTTTGTGTGCTTAATACCAGGATACGGTGGGAAAAAAACAAATGCGGTTCAGATAAACACAAAGTTATTGAGGAATTTCTATCCCTACTAGCATGCAACCCAAAGCCCTTCGGCAACAAAATGCTTCATGATACAGAAAGCCAAAGATGAGAGAACATAATTTACTTGTTGTTTACTGGTCTTAGTTTTAAAGCCTCTCTAGCAGCAGGTGAGTCTCTTAGCCTCCAGGGCTGAGAGTTCTCCAGCGATTTCTCAGAACTGTGTATTGCTTAAGTAGTTAATTATACCTCTCGCTCTAAGCATTGAAATTGCCATCACCCTACAATGCCACACTCTCAAGAAAAGCAGAAAGCATTTGCATATACTCTTTTTCTCTATGGAAAAGCTGATCTCTAACTCTAGCTTATTGCTTACCATGACAAATATAGTGTGCAACATGTCCACATCGTCTCCAACACAATGATTCTAACAAGGCTCAGTGTGGCTATAAAATGTTATCAAGTGTCCATTTTTCATGAGGAGTACATTTCCCCTGCCATTAGGGAAGTCCTGAATGAAAGTAATTGCTTTGCTAATTTTAGGTCGATGCTAAAGTCATTAGCCATTTGTGTTCTAGATGAGCTACTATAGGAGAGCATCTCGCAGCTTAAAAAAGGACAGTTGAGTACAAGTAGCCAACGGGAAGTTCACAGAGAAAGCTGTCAAAAAGACATGTTTGCTTTCTCATAGGTTGGTATCGGAGAGATTTGTGAAACCTCACAAAAGCCTCGACTCATAAACCCTTCTTCCTGTGACTCAACTTTCCGAGAGCTATTATATCGACGTGAAAGGAAGTAGAAGCCTTGGAAAGGAGAAAGCAGAGAAAAGAGCTGTCCGGGCACACCGATGAATCTGCAACGAGGCCGTTTCTCAGAATGGCTTGCGTTCCATGAATTGTCTGGCTTTTGGGGAGCGAGTGAGACGGCAACCTAAACTCCCATTTAGTGCACTTTGAGTTGCTGACCCTACTGAGTGGCTGGTAATGGGATCTTTCTGTAGCCTTTCTGCCGGAGCCCACTTTGTGTCCCTGATACTTCTCTTTCATATCTGATTTTTCTCAATGAGAGCATTCATATCCCCGCCATCCATCATGCCCTGAGATGGAGCCCTCATCTCTTGCAGTGCCATCATCTTCGTGGATACACCTACGCAGTCCTGCTGGTATTGCCTCCTCCACCCTCCTGTTGACACTGCTTAGCATTAAAGCAATTTTAGGCCAAATCGGCGAAATGTGGGTGAAGCTTTCAGGATCTGTGGTTCTTGTTTTTGGCAGGCTTTAATCCACCTATCCAGCATTGATGAGAGATGAAGCAGTTTATCCAGATTATGTGCTTGAATTACAATCCATTTCTGCCACACAACAAACACAACAGGCTTTGAAGCATCTTAGTGCTCAATATCTTACGTCAAATTACTATTTTTTTCATAGCCCATTATGCTTTGGGTGTATCTTTATGCCACCCTGTAGAGGCTAATGTTTGTTTTCCAGCGTTGCTGGTTTGAGCCTGATGTGTGTGTGGCCCAGTGCATCTTTATTCACTTAACCCACCAAATGAGCCACAAATCACCCCTCCGGGTGCGGCTTGGCTTTATCTGCCACCTAGTCTTTTGTCCCCTGAGCTTTTTCACAATCTATCTCTGCTCAACACACTAGCACAAATCATGCGTTGACCGTCGTTTTTGTCTCCATATCGACTGCCACAGAAGAGATGCTCCAAAGAGCCTCACTTCTGTTTGGCCTCCACCTCCCTCCAGCTCCTGGCAGAGGAAAACACTGCAGGTCTGAGTCTGCAGATACCCCGCTGCTCAATATTAGGAATGCTGTTGACTTTCTCCAAATTATTATGCTTGCACTGTGTGAGAGGGGTATTAGAGGAGCACTACAACCAAAATTAAAGCCGTTTTCTAATCATCAAGTCGTTCTAACGCTGAATGACTTTTGTTCATCCACAAAACATGGCAGGAGACCATTTGTTTCTGCTCTTTTAGAGACGGGTGTTTTTAAGTTTAAAAAATTATGCATAAATGCAGACATGGATTGTGCACTATTTTTAAAGAACTTTTAAAAGACTTAAAAGTTGCTTTTGGAAAAATAGGGCTAGGGTTCATGAACGAAGTAGCGTTGTCTAGCTTATGAACAAATCAATTGGATCCTTTGAATTGAATCTTAAGCAGTATGTTTGTTTAGTTTCACTAAATGTATCTAATTGATTTGTTTGTCAATTTTACTTACTCGGTTCTCAAGTTGTGAATTGATTTTGCAGCAGTATAAAGCTCACTGGGTGGGAATATTTTAAAAAGCTGGGTTTTCTTTTGCAAATAGCTTGAATTGATTTAATGGACCACTTTTTGATACTTTTAGTGGGGCCTTTTGATTTTTATGATGTGAGCTGAAAAGTGGGTATGTCATGGAAATTGGTAAACTTTAGATAAATAGATTAATATATCCATCCTAATTACAATATACACTAACTGGCCATTTTAACAGGTACACCTCACTAGTACAGAGTTGGACCCCCTTTTGACTTCATAACTGCCTTAATCCTTCATGGCATAGATTCAACAAGGTACTGGAAATTTTCCTCAGAGATTTTGGTCCAGACTGACATGATAGCATCACACAGTTGCTGCAGATTTGTCGGCCGCACATCCATGATGTGAATCTCTCGTTCCACTACATCCCAAAGGTGCTTTATTGAATAGATATCTGGTGACTTTGGAGGCCATTTGAGTACAGTGAACTTGTCATGTTCAAGAAACCAGTCTGAGATGATTCGTGCTTTATGACATGGTGTGTTATCCTGCTGGAAGTAGATGGGTACACTGTGGTCATAAAGGGATGGACATGGTCAGCAACAACATACAGGTAGACTGAGGCACTGAAATTATACTCGATTGGTACTAACAGGGCCAACATGTACTAAGGGTGCTTTCACACCTGTGAATCGATTCAGTTGTTCCGAAACAGAGATTACAAATGTTACATAAGTGTTGCTCTTTGCTCTTGGAGCGGTTCACTTTCACACTGCAAAGTTTCTAATTGGACCAAAAGAGCTAAAACAAGTCTTGTGTGAGTAAACTCTCCTCACATTGGTCAGAGAGTCAGGGTTTATTTTGCTAAGTCCCGCTCAGCTGTCAGGAGAGTTGGTGGTTTGGTGGTGTTTGACAAAGTGCACGCAATGTGTCTGAGGAGAGATGCAGTGGAGAGGGGTGAGAAGGGTGCGTGACGAAGACTATTTGAGGACCGGGAGGGAGACGTGAGATTAAGTATCGCTTTCACACTGCAATCGATCCGCTCCAGAGTTCGTTTCAACCGAGCTAAGACCACCTCATTCAAGCGATCTCGGAGCGATTGGTGGTTTCACATATGCCAAACAAACCGTACTAACTGGGCAAACGAGACAGGTTCAAAAACAAAAGTGTAGGTGTGAAAGCACCCTAAGAAAATATCCCCCACACCATTACACCACCCCCACCAGCCTGAACCATTGATACAAGGCAGGATGGATCCATGCTTTCATGTTGTTGATGCTAAATTCTGACCCTACCATCCGAAATCAGGACTCATCAGACCAGGCAACGTTTTTTCAATCTTCTACTGTACAATTTTGGTGGGCCTGTTCGAACTGTAGCCTTGGTTTCCAGTTCTTAGCTGAAAGGAGTGGCACCTGGTTTTGTCTTTTGTTGCTGTAGTCCATTTGCCTGCGGCCATGTGATTGGCTGATTAGAAATTTGCATTAACAAGCAGTTGGACAAGTGCACCTTTTAAGTAAACTACAAAGTAGATGGTGAGTGTAAATTATTGGAGGTGAATATTATACCGCAAAAAGAATATTTAAACATGAAGTCTGCATATTCTGTGTGAATTAATGGTGCAGTTCAGTTTGCTACACAAATACAATGTCTGCCTTTTCACTATATGAAGTGGACATGAACACATGACTTACTGTAAATGTCCAGAGATGGCCTGATAATAACTTCATAAAGTTGGCCAGTTATTTGACAAAAAATATGGCCGTATATACACTGAAAATCAGCACATCAAATATAAGTTTTGTTAAACTGAATATTATAAAAGAAGTGTAACTAATGGAAAAACTAATGAAGTCGGGAGAAAAAATAAAAAATTAACGAAGTTTTTTTAAAGCTTTAGCCCCTTTCCTTACAGTTGCACAAATGATTGATGAGCTAAGTCCTCTGAAGCTCTTTTTGGTGAGTAAATGATGACTGAATATCCATTTTTTTTGTGAACGATGCCTTTAGTTTGGTTAGTGGAGCTGTTTTCAGAGCGGTGGATAAACCGGGGGTTCAGCCGGTGACTCAAGGGAGACGGATTTCACGACTGGCTTGCTCAGGGGACAGCGGCCTCTCATTTAGGTATTTATCTCTCGAGCATTAGACTATGTAAGTAAGCCGCACAAAGAAGCTTTCGCCTATTGCTCCAACTAACTGAAGGATTAGGATTTGATTCATTTTTGTAGTTCTTCCCCTCAGTTTCTGAGCGACCGACGTTGATTCAGTGCGCTAGGTACAATTCCTCTTCGATGGGCGTAAATGTCTCCCAGGGGTGACAGGACAGCGGATGGGAGTCTGTGGTTTATGGGAGCCGTACATCAGGACCTTGCTGCCAGGACTCGAGGAATGCATGCATATCCGTGCTTAATGACTTTGTGTGTGTGGCTCATGACAGCACAGCGATTATGACTGGATGAATGTGGCTGTTATTGTGGGCAATCAGAAGCAGCCGCAGAGTGAATGGGCCAAGCAGTGCTGGCAGTAGGGGAGCGACAGAACCGCTGGATCATCGCCTGGGCCTTTTGTTTCACAGAGCTGTGTTGTGTTTTAAAAAATCTCACCCAATCCCACAACACACTGCGAATTCAATAGGCCCAGAGGAGAGATACTGTGCAAAAAAATCTTAGGTAGGAGTATTACCAACAATTCTGCTTACATTAGCATTTAAAACAACCTTTAAGCGATTCCACATTCTTCATTGTGCCCGCGCTATGGTGCCATTGCCAGTAAGCAAGGGATCTGTCCTTATTCACCATGAATATTAATGTAACACTTTACTTGAAGGGGGTGTTCATTACACCTTTAAAATTATAGCAATTTAAATGTGTCATTAGCTTAGTTATGTCATTTTAAATGCAAAATGTAATTGTTTGTGATGTCTTTATTATGACAACTTGAAATTACCTAGACAAAAAAAATTGTCATAAATCCGTCATAAGCGTGATTGTCAAGAGGCCATTATAATTGTCAAGAATATTTTACTGATTTTTCAGTAGAATTTCTCATTAAATGTGTTAATTCTCAGTCATAGATATTTACACTAGATACTAGATCGCCTACAGTGTTTTTGTCAATTAGAAGGAAAGCATCAATAGAGCAACCATTTTAGTACAGGGTAGCGCTCCTTTGAAACGAATGTGAGAACAAGTTGCAGTGACTCGTTTAGCACAAAAGGTTATAACATACAAATATGTGTTAAAAAAAAAAAAAACACAAAAAAAACGGAATCTCACCTATGAAATATTCTGCCTTTGTGCTTTGTTTTCTTTCTTTGCTCATTACTACACCCTTAAACAGCGCAGAAGTCAAGCAACTTCAGCAGACTGTCTTGACTAGTGTGGTTGAATGACAGTTGCCCTGGGAGCTCTGTACAAATGGGGCGACGCTCTAGCTCAAGGTCCATATGTGATATCCAGTGTATATAGGGGATACTCAGTCTGCTAATGTTTTAACAGTGTCTTTAATTTAATGAAATTACTAATTAAATTTCTACCAATGTAGCTCAAGAAATGAGGTCAAGAAATATTCTAAAACTGCCTTAATGGTTTATGGCATAGACTTAACAAGGTACTAGAAATATTCCTCAGTGCTTTTGGTTCATATTGACATGATAGCATCATGCAGTTGCTGCAAATTTGTCGGTTGAACATGCATAATGCGAAATCTCCCGTTCCACCACATCCCAATTATCCCCCACACCAATACTGACAGGAGTGTGGCAGAGGTGTGGTCTTCTGCTGGTGTATGTCATCTGCCTCAAGGTTTGATGTATTGTGCATTCAGAAATGCTCTTCTGCATACTTTGGTTGTAAAAGGGGTTATTTGATTTACTGTTGCCTTTTTATCATCTTGAACTCAGTCTGTTCTCCTCTGACCTCTGGCATCAAGAATATTTTCTTTTGCTGGACCATTCTCTGTAAACTCTAGAGATTGTCGTGTGTTAAAATCCCAGTAAATCAGCAGTTTCTGAAATACTCAGACTAGCCCGCCTGACACCACCAACCATGCCGCTGCCATGTGATTGGCCGATTAGAAATTTGCGTTAACGAGAAGTTAGACAGGTATTATTATATTATACTTAATAAAGTGGCAAGTGAATGCATGTCACCTTTGCATTTAAAATGACAATTGGATGAATGAGACTTAATGGAAGCATACATAAAATCTTATGCCATGCCATGATTGTGAAGGTTTTAAGTATTATGAACACCCCCTTCAAGTAGAGCGTTACCAATTCAAATTACAAACAGAAATTGTTTAGGCAAAGATCACCATTCTTTGCATTCTCATTAAAAACTGTGGCACGACCTCTTGGGGAGGAGAAAAAGACATTTGGGCTCATTATTTTCCCACAGATCATGCTTAAATTGCCGCATGAATATATGCAAAAACATGTGGCGTTGAGACATTGCTGCTGCTACATGGCGATTTATCATATGACAAAGGGTTTTCTGTCACAGTGCCTGATTTCTGTTTTTTCCCCCCTCTAAGTATGTCCACTAAAATAATCTTTTTTGGGGAAACGGCAGTCTATTTAAAAAACGTTAGACCACCTCTGTCAGAAAAGCAATTAAGTGTGAGAGTTTCATTTTAATTTAAATGAGATTATATTACAGTGGCGTGAAAAGGGGGACTATTCAAGTGAAAGAGCATGAGTGTTCTTCTCTTTATCAGGACCAGCAGTTCTGAGGCTTCAGCGGGATAGCAGAGAGAGTGGCTGAGACTGGCTGCATTTAGAAAGGCGATTTGCTTGTGCTGGAGAAAGCTATTTTAAAAAGAAAGCCATATTAGTTTGACGCCTTTGGATGAATTAATAAAATTTTGGAACTAGAAAAGACAATTATGAGCATCTCCTGGGCATTACAGCTGACATGGAGGCATTTCTAAACCCATTCCTGACAAAAAAAAAACAGCTTCTCTAGGGGAGAATATCTTTTCTACAGGCAACTAACAGGCCGTTATGTGCTTTATATTATAAACTGCTTCACCCTCTTCAATATTGTGGCTGCTCGTATCTTGGGTAATCAAGGGGAAGCTATTTTTGTTGGTGGAAAGATGCTGCTCCAGAGTCTTTTCTCTTTCTGAACAATGAGCAGTTTTAGTTGACACTAAACTCGCTTGCTTTTTATTCACGGTTATTATCTGGGTGATTTAATACGACTTTGTTTGTGGAAATCTCTATGATAACATCTATCTCGCCGTTTCTGCTTTTCTCTCCATCTGTTTAACCACTTTTCTCTTTTTTTTTTTCTCTCCCTGAAGCGGCAGATGAGCTGGGCATTGAGTTTATGGGTAAGAAAACCTTTTCTATGTCTTTATAATCCATTTTCCTCCCTCATTTACATGTGCATACGCTTGATTAAAAAAAACACTGCATTTGTAATGTTTTTGCACAATTAAATAAATGTGATATATTCTAAACAATTATAATACTTAAAGAGCCCCTATTATGCATGAAAAAGTCTTATTTTGGTTTTGGGGGTCTTCAAAATCAGGCTGATAAGCATGCAAAATCAAAAAACACTTTCAATGTCTTATAATATGCATTTATTTTCGTAATTATCCCAACAACTCCCATATGATTCGTTCAGCAATTTGTTGTTGCGCCTATGACCCATTCTGTTGTGATTGGTCGACTGAGTTCAGCAGGAGACAGAGAGAAATGTCCACCACGACTTATCAACATTGTTGAAGTAGTCAGAGTGTAGAGTGTATGTGTGAGCCCAATGCTAAAGCAATGCAGTTTATGTTACTTGTGTAGGAACAGCGAACGGTGGCCATAGCAACGACAAACGGCAGTGGATCGCAAGCTCACAAACGCATTTAAATCCGTAAACAAAGCGGCCCACACGTCACGTTTTCAACATGGTTTTAGGCACAGTTGCAAGTAACAAAACACAATTAAATACATCATTTGCAAGCTAGAGAAAATAAGGAGGCAGCTTTTTTAATCTCACATTGTGAAATGGAGGAAGAAACTGATCCATGAACTGTGTACTGTAAAGTTCCTGTCAAGCTCTGACAATGTCCCATACATCAATAGCCTTTTCTGATCATTCCTTTAACAAACGGCCAACGAATCGCCTGTTGTAAGCATGTAGATTGCTGAAGCACTTGTCAGAAAAATGACGGAAACAGCGTAAGGCTGGGGCTATAATGCTGAGGTATTTTTGCAAAAATAAACTTGAATCTTCACAGCCTCATCTTTGGGTAGGGAAAACAACACTAACTTTCCCTCACACTTCAGAGCGCCTTAACGGCATGATTCAACCGGTATCTGCTACATAGTTTGTCTTCTTCTTTTTCTTTCTACAATGTTTGTGGGTGGGGCCGGAGGGATCAATTTTACCAGGTCTGCGCACACAAAAATTAGGCGGGTGTGAGTTATATAACAACGTCACGCTGACACAGCTAAAGATTTGATACCGCCGCAATTCATTTGTACCACTCTCAGTCAACACTTTTATAGATGAATCAAAAGTTTTAAACATGGCGCACTTTCAGATTTAACCTTTAGCTGGATATTTCACTGTTACACACAATTCACTGTTACACACTGCATGGAAGGTCATTAAAGGGCTCTTTAAAGGGACTGAGCCGAAAAGAAAATAATGAACGAATGAGTAAATTTTATTAGGGGCCAAGCACCGTAGGTGCGTAGGCACCTATTGCTTTCGTTAGTGTTCTTATTATTATTATTATTATTATTATTATTATTATTATTCTTCTTCTTCCGTTTCTTCCGCCGGATTTGAATGGCAGCCCATATAGGCGTATGCGGGAAAGTTGTATAATTTGGCACAATGATAGAGGCCAGTATTAACATTAATCAGGCCAATTATGAAGTCTCAAAATCAAACTCTCTAGCGCCACCACTTGTCCAAACTTTCACGTATGTTTATCATCATAACTTTTGAACCGAATGGGCTACAATCAAAATTCTTTTTTCCTCTGATTCCTTGGCTCAGTCCGATTCAAACCCACCCTATGACGTCATTTTCCGTCATGAATTTTTTCGCACTATTTTAAATTTTTCGAAAAACCTATTTGATCGAACTCGTCCTACGCCGTGTCTCCGATTTTCACCAAAATTTAATCACATGATCTACAGACCATGCCAACCAAAAGTTATGGAATTCAAGTTGATTAGACCAACCGTTTTCGTTTAACTTGCAAACTAATTTAACGTAGAACTTGCGAAAATGGACTTGAGGCGATATCTCTGTAACGCATTCACCGATTCACACCAAACTTGGTGTGTGTTATGACAACTAGGGTCTAAGGTTAATTGCGGAGTTTCGGCGCACTGCCCCCTAGTGGTCCGGAGATACTAAAAACTTGCTTTTTGGCTTATAACGTCTCAACCTTTCGTCCGAAACTCATGAAACTGGTCTCATTACATCCGGCAGAGCATGCCGAGTCGAATGATGTCTGATTTTTACAGGTCAGCCATTTTGGGCGTCGCCCATTTCGATTTTTGGCCAAAAATGCTATATTTTACCAACACATTCACATATCATTACAAAACATGGTATGCATCTTCAACCCCATGCCCTGAAAGTACTCAAAAACGTCTGGAGCAGCGCCACCTTATGGCCAATAGTGCTTGGCCCCTTAATTGCTGCTTGCAGCTATATTTATTATTATTATTATTAATAATAATAATAATAATAATAATAATAACAACAATAAAATATTCAATTATGTTTCTTTTTTATTATTATTTTTAATGAATAATAATTTATTTTTGCGCATTTTATTTAGTCAAAAAACAATGTATTATTCTAAATACTTTAAGATTCGAATCTAATATTGGTTCCTTACCCATATAAATTCCTATACAGACCATATACATTGCATACATCCCATCTTGTCACTATTAGGAAAGAAAAGAATTACTGAAGTCGCTTCTCGTCCTTGACCATCATTAATGTATACAAACACGCATGATGCTCATGTTCCTCCGAGATGCCCAATGTTCTTGGGTTTCCATGGAAACAGAGCCAAAGAAATGTATTGTAGAGGCGCAAGGCAGCATCTGTATGGGCGATGGCGTCTGCATGCGTGTGTTTGCTCGTGTTCGCTTGTATGTTGCTGTTAATTACTGCAAAGCCTCGAGCTCTGCACCTTGCTGAGGTAGCATGTTGCATAGCAAGTCTCTGGGGATTAGAAATATCACACAGCCAAGGGCTAAATAGATGCCTTTACCCCAACAAACCACAGGACACACAGACTTAAAGCAGTGTCAACAAACAGAAGCCCACAAAACTGCTGTGAAAATGGATTTTCTGCAGGCTTTCTCTCCTACATTCAAAAACTTGCATGCTCTCATGTGCATGACAACTAGAAGCATTATTTTAAAGTGACAGTTCACAAATACTACCTCCATAGTGGGAAATACAAATACTTTGACCAACTTGACGAAAGTGACTTACAATTGAGAAGGAATTCAGCAATTCAACAAGAAGAGAATACACACAAAAAGTGCTAATTATATAAAGTTACTTGATGGGCTCCGAGACTTTAGTGCTATTTTGTAAATGTGTTATTTTGGGGTTTTTTGAGAAAGAAAGAGAGTGAGCAAGTGAGAATGTCCTTTAACAGGTGGTTTTTATTTTATTCACTGGGCTTAAAGGGTTTTTAGTTGTTGTTTAAAGGATACCAATGAATCCACAGTCTGTGTAGGAATGAGAAATTCCAGTGCGGAACATTGAATGCAAAGGTTTTGGAAAGTGACTTATGGCCTCTTTGTTATGGTACCACAAAACAATGCTCACTCCTTGACTAGAGGCTCCTGACCTTAAATATTTATATTTTCTAACTTATTTTGGGCAAAACAGAAAAAACAAAGTCAAACTATTATGGAACAAGTAAATAATCCACAGTTGATTGATCACTTTATGAAGTCTTCTAAAATTCCATGTTTAAATATGCAAATGAGCTGTTATTTTAATAATTATGTGCTAAATTTCTAGCTCAAAAATGTGACCACTGGCTGAAGTCATTTTTAAAAAGGTGACATTTTTGACAATAGCCAATAGATTGTATAAAACATAGATTTTTCATTAATGGCAAAAGTCATTAGCAGTAAAGATAATGTTTCATTCCAATTCAATTCATCTTTATTTCTATAGCGTTTTTACAATGTAGATTGTGTCAAAGCAGCTTAACATAGAAGCACTAGAAAAGTGAAACTGTGTCAGTCCAGTTTTCAGAGTTGAAGTTTAGTTTAGTTAATTTCAGTGGTAAAATTTTTGCTGCTGAAAGTCCAAACACTGAAGAACAAATCCATCAATGCACAGCACCACAAGTCCCAAAACCAAGCAAGCTAGTGGCAACAAATGCAAGGAACAAAATGCGACCAATTCACAAAAAAGTGAAGAGAAAAAAAACCTTGAGAGTGACCAGGCTCAGTTGGGCACGAGCATTTCTCCTCTGGCCAAACTTCCTGAGCAGATGTTCTATGAACATATTTTGTAAATCCCCTACTGTACATATATCAAACTATATATATATATATATATATATATATATATATATATATATATATATATATATATATATATATATATATATATATATATATATATATACTATAAATATATATATATATATATATAGTATCATTATGTTATTCTTAAGGATTTTCGATTGTGCTTCAAAACAGTAACAAAATTACACTTTAATTTATAAACATTCAAACTTATTTATAATTTTTTAAAGGACTCCTCATACTTTAGTTTCTCATCAATCATCAATTTGTTTGACCAATCAAATGCTCTCTTGTATCTAACATGTCCTGCTCAATCACTCTCACTGGCAGAGCTGTGATAAAACAAAATGCTATTTGCTGTTTTTTTAAGGGGAGGAGCTGCTCTATAGTCCTGTTTTCATGTGGCAGTTCAAATTGGTCCACATTGAACAAACATGTTCAAATATTCACACATTTCAAAAACACATTTCATTTTTTGCAACCCCACAGTTTAAATTATTTTATTTTATTGCAGTCAAATGTTATTGAATCCTAACCAACCATCAATGAAATCCACAGAAAAATTGATTTGGTGTGACAAAAGAAATGCTGAAATGTGTATCCTGAATAATTTCTTTAAGTTAGACTGGAAAAGCAGTATATGAAAATCCAAAAATTGAGTCGCATGAAATGTTTTTTTTGCCTCCAGTGTCTCGCCTTAAGTGAACGAGTGAATCCTGTGAAGTTTTCCATTAGTCGTGCTTCACACGCTTGCCTCGAGATTTCCTCAAAACTGTCAGAGAAGGAGAGCGAGTTTAAATGGAACTGATATGCATTTCTGCTTCTGGGAAATGACTGCCTGGGTGATTTTAATCTGGATGGAGAACGGGTCCTGTTGTGCCCATTACGGAGCGCGTTTTCCATAAAAGAGAGAGCAAGACGGGAGGGAGGGGGCGATGAGCACACGTGTGCATGAATGGTCAGCTCTGTGCATGAGAAAGCATTTCAGTCACGGCTGCGGGGCTGTGAGGGAATCCAGCCATCTGCTCGCAGAGACTCGCCACCAAACCAGGGCTCAATGTCCTGCGAGGACCAGTCGTTTAGTCCCTGATAGCCCAAGCTGTTCTTGGAATCCTGCACAGTTTCTGCTCCTGTGCACAAAGATAGATCCATAGAGATTATTTACTGAGGCTGGTATAGTAGAGGTGGCTTTGAAGAACAAAGCTCACACCTTAACCTCTCTCAACACTTTTTTTTGTAACGATGAACTAGATCACTGGATGTCTCACTGGACATAAATCTCAGCATCCATGTTCTGATGTCAAGCGGAACCACTTCTAAAAGAGCTGAAGATCAGCTCCCTGTCAATCCAACATAACAAAGACAACCCTGCTGTATATGGAACAATATTAATGCCTTAACTATTTGAAATAAAATGCTTGTTAAATAGTGCAATAGGTGCATCCCAAATCGCACACTTATGCATTATTCTATGCAATTTTGTAGTATTTGTGGTGCAAGTAATGCATTCACACTGAAAACTCTAAAAAGAATAAAGTGCTCCTTAAATACCCGGATGAAGCACTTATTCAAACATTAAAAAGAAGCGAGTTATGTTGAACACTTAACTCACGTGGCTGAGCTTTTGAGCACTGTTGTTGGATTTTTTTTATTTATTTTGGATTGTGAACACAAAATTTTCCTTGAGGGATTATGCTGCAGGAGGCTACATATATATATATATATGTATGTATATGTATATATATATATATATATATATATATATATATATATATATATATATATATATATATATTATCATTCAGAGTAACATAAATAAAATTCAATTGTAAGCTATTCTCTCTTTGCGTCATGTCCTTTGGAAGCCTAATTACAGAATCAGAACAAGCTCTGTGGAAATAGCAGCATTTGGATGCCATTTTAGCTTTATCTGCTTTAATATTACAGCGCCTTTGGCCACCCCCTTTGCAGTGTGGGGTGTATGCACGTCACCTGAAGGGTTTACAACATCATTACCCCAGATATTTTTTTTTGTACTCCCAAAACTTCGTTTGCTGTAGGCTTTGCTAAGCTAACTCTATAAAAGCCAGTCTCCCTTTGCATTGAACTTTGAGCGTATTAAATTCAGATATGATGTTTATGTTTACAAAGCTACATAACACATCACCTTAAGTTTAAAGTATGATATGGTTGTAGACCATCCCTTTAAGATGAAATACTTTAGTTCATTAATATTATATTGATTTCTTTATTGTAATTATTATTATTACTATTAATACTACTACTAATAATAAATAACTCATTGCGTCAGCTTGTTCTGCCTGTTTTCTAAATAAAAATAATGCACATTGAGTTTCATGACCATTAAAAATATTTATGGCCAGAACATGTTCTCAAATTGCCACCCACTGGCAGATTGTAAATTTGATAGTAGATGTTCATTTAAATTTTTATTTAAGAATTCTTTTTAAAATACAGTACATGACTTTGCTATTATAATCTGAAAACTAGGGTTCCATGAGACAAACTTTGAGTGATGCCCTTATTTAAAAGTTTAAAGGGCCATTTGATGTTTTTAGTGGACCATTAATTTTTATTTAATGGACCAAGATAAAAGAACACTTCATTTCTCAGAACGTTTCCACCTGTTGTGCTATTGGAAGTCCGTCAATTTCACTTCCTATAATTCCAAATCAAGCTGCAGTTTAGTTTGTTGCTGGTTTCCAACAAAGTGATCATTAGGCTGATTCTTACTGCAAGCACATCTGAAGCGTATCTGACCTCTGACACAGACCAATGCCTGTCTGACAGCTCCCAGCATGCTCCTCTGCCGTCTGTCCCCAATCATCAAATCAAACGTGATTGTGTGCACATGTCTGCATGCTAGTTAAATATGCCAAAATGACACAACTAGTCAATTAGTTTTGAGAAAGTCCCTTTGCAATCATCTCCAAAAAAAAAAAAAAAAAAAAACGCACTGTCTCACGCTGGTATTGTTTCCATTCAATTTTTGTTTCAAGCTCTAAGAGCCAATTAGCTTCATAAGATTCTTTTGTTCAATCAAGACTGAAATAGTAATGACTGTGAATAAAGGCTGAAGATGAATGTGTGCTGTCCTTTTCTGTGTTTCCAGAGAGTGCAGAAACTTATCAGAGGCAGATTCTGTCCATCTTCAGCATAGCCATGGGGATCAGCCTGCTGGGAGTCGCTTGCATGGCGCTTTACTGCAAGAACAAGTGAGTTTATCCATCCTCAGAAGCTGGAATGGTTTAGTTTTAAACTAAGTTTGAGTGTGTTTGAGTTCTGAAGTTTCTGTAGTGGTGTGGGTCAATGACCTTTATTTCTGTCTGTTCATTTTTTAAACAATGGTAAAATTCACCTCTTCCATGACCAAAATTAATTTTATTTAATTCGATTCTTTGGTAAGGCTGCATGGCTCGGTGTTTAGCACTGGCGCCTCACAGCAAGAAGGACCCTGATTAGAGTCCCAGTTGGGCCTATTAGCTTTTCTTTGTGGAGTTTGCATGTTCTCCCCATTTTTGTGTGGGTTCATGCTCCGGTTTCCCCACAGTCCAAAGACATACGCTATAGGTTAATGGCCGTAGTTTATGAGTATATGTGTGTAAATGTGAGTGTATATGGGTGTTTCCCAGTACTGGGTTGCGGCTGGAAGGGCATCTGCTGCATAAAACATATGCCAGAATAGTTGGCGGCTCATTCCACTGTGGTAATTCCTGATAAATAAGGGACTAAGATGAAGGAAAATGAAAGAATAAAATTCTTTAATAAAAAAATATTTATAAAAGTTTCACATCATTTTTAATAATTTCACATATATTAGAATTTTCAGTTCTTTGTAAAAATTGCTTTAAATTAAAATTACTTCAATGGGATGATAATATCTAAAACAAACTAAGCAAAAATCAAGTCAAGGTCTTTAAAGACACAAAAAAGGAACTATTTGACCTTTTTATAAAAAGGCAAGGTTAGTTCAGGATGTAAAATTAAACATAATGAAACTCCCTAAAAACTTTATGGTAATTTTTAATGAATAATTTATGCCCTTACGGTAAACAATATAAGCTTCACATGTGCAATTACATGTTAAAATCAAATGTGAAGTATGTGAAAGACGTGAAACTTTTCACATGAAACCCATGTGATTAAGTTTCCACATGTCCATATTTACCATGTGTGATCACCTGGGTCTCGCATGAAAACCACACATTTCACATTTGATTTTAACATATAATTGCACATGTAAAGCATGTAGATTATCTGTAAAAAATGCATTATTCATTAAAAAGGAAATCATTAAAAACACACATTCCTGATGTTTTACATATTTTGCATTTATATAATGTTAGGGTAACACTTTATTTTGATGGTCCATTTGAGTATTAGCAGACTGTCTGCTTAATATTTGGTGATACTGCTCCTTCAACAGACATTTAACTGACTAAAGGAAACTTTGCAAGTACATGTCAACTTACACTAACCCTAACCCCAACCTAAGAGTCTACTTATAGTCTAATGATAATTAGTTGGCATGTAGATGCAATGTAACTTAAATTCAACAAACAGACCATCAAAATATAGTGTGACCAATGTTAGTTGTGGGTCATTAAAATAACCTGGAAAATGCTGTTTACTATAGATACTACTAGTATACTAGCAGTATCTAAAAGTACTACATACTTTTTAATAATAAGAAACCAGCATGTCATTGACCTGAATGTCATTGCACAAAATGAAATCTTGTGGTTTCAAAAAATGTACCGACACTTTTCAGGAGACAAAGAGAGAAGCATCGAGCGCATCTGACCGAAATTCGCAACTTGAGGGACTGTACTGTCAACGCCTCTGGTCTCATGTCTAAATCAAGCCCCAGACTCGAGAGCAGCCTCCAGCTTCAAAAGGTGATGTTTGTTTACATCTCAGACAGCAAATCTGCATGATGTCCATATTTATGCTGACAGTGCACATGATGATCACTTGTTCCAAAAAAAAGCCTCCATCTCCACACTCATACGTCTACCACATATACAGAAGCACAGTCTGATTTCAAGCCACCCACATGTGCTGTTATGAAAATTCGAATAAAGTCCCCTGCGCATAACAGTCACCAGTAATGAATACAATTGGCCAGCAGGCAACTGGAGGAATGATGCCCTCCACGGCTTTACTGCTTTCCCACCTGCCCCGCAGATCCCTCAAGCTGACAGAAATAACACTGCATGCAGCTCGGGGAGCAAACACTGCATCTATCTGATGCAACAACAGTCAAAGGCAGCCAGCACCTAGCTGATGAAGAACTGGATGAATCGAGCCGCATTATCCAAACAGAAAGATCAGTCTCTCTTTCTCTGCTGCCACATGGCGGCTCATTTACACCCCATACACAAATGTTGGCGGCTCTTGTTCCCATGTGTACCATTGAGTCCGATGAGATTGAGGAATCGGGCGTGAATTATTCCCGATGGTTTACGTTTGCATTTCCTTGCAGATGCTTGTTGAAGTCATTTATGCGAAATTGCATATAGTGATGTGACACGGGGTGTAGCATATCAAGATCAGCGTCACTCTTGCTAATGCAAGCATGCGGAGCAAACCTTTAATTGGGCTGCTTATATAATCGTCACCTAAATCTGCTGAGCTGGCACTGTAAAATTCATTTAAGAAGAGGCTGAGAAGGAAAGCTCAGATCTTTTGTTCAGGCTTCACTCCATTTCCGCATGTTCCACCCCTTCTTCTGGAAAGTTGATGTATTTAAAGTTGTATTATTTGGCTTTAGCGTATAGGAATGCACAGATAGAAAATAAATAAATATCAATCTTAGCGTAAACAGTTCATCATACTAATATCACCCCATCTGAATGATGAACAAAACTTTGTTATATGAAGTTTGCTGCCATACAAAGCTCCAGAAAAATCACTGTAAGTGTTGAAAAATTCTACACAACGGAGAAACATACATTTTTTTCAACAGTTTATACATGTCTGTTACCTCATTAAAAATGCTTTTTTTATTTCTAAATATTTTTTTTTCTTTTTACATCCAAAGTTCATATTGTACACATTAGCAAAATATACAGAGGCTCATTCCTGATGGTTTACAGTACGTTTACATTTTCTTGTAAATGCTTGAAGTCATTTATAAGTCATTTATATATCTTAATCCTGGTGGTCCGGTGTCCTGCAGATTTTAGCTCAAACCCTAATCAGACACTCCTGGACTAGCTAATCCAGCTCTTACTAGGCTTTCTAGAAACATCCTTACAAGTGTGTTGAGGCAAGTTGGAGCTAAAATCTGCAAGACACCTAACCTCCAGGACCGAGTTTGAGAATCCCTGGCATATAGTGATGCAAAAGAGTAAATTTGCTTTTGACTTAGGTGGTAAATTAAAATCAATGAATTTAGCACCACCTCCCTCCCCGATATACACCACCTGTTAATGCAAAGTATACATAAAAAGTAGAATCATATAGTAAGAAAATATCAGTTTGCAATGTCAAGCAGCATAACAAGATGTTTTAACGTCTATAAATGAATGGAAGCCAATTAGACCGAAAGTCTCCGCCCAAAAAGTTTCAAATGGCTGCGCCCACTCGAACGCAAAGAATAAGGTGAATAGACTGCTGGAAGGGCACAGGATAATCATGTTATCTTGATTATTGGTGAGTTTTTGTTTCAAAATCATTCGAGCCCAAAATCAAAACTAGATTTCAATGAATTGCAAAGCGATTGTTTGATAAACTCATTCAGTAATGATTATGATCACAAAGAATGTCACTTCAAGGCTAGTCATTTCACTCATGGTTCATTTAAAAGCACAGGTTTCAAGCTTTATGTGGATATATAGCTTATATCTGAAGCAAGTATTCGCTGTTATTCTAGTGCATTTGTTGACCACCAAACTATTGTAAAAGCATACGTCTGGTCCGAGCTTTTCCCTTGAGAAACATCAGTCTATAGCGATCAATGATTGTATTAGTATTAGTAGTATTAGTAGGCGGGACTTCATTCACCATATTGACTGTTACACTTTTCCCCAGTCAAAACTATACGAGTCACACGTCTTGTGTATTCTATAGTCTTTGTCTCAAATTAAAAACATTTATTTTATTTGTTTGTTTGCTTAACAGGGACATTAAACCTGACCTTTTTTAATACAAAGACAACTGATGCCGCGTATAGGCATGGAACAATAACCGTTTTCAAGGTATACGGTTTGGAAAAGTCAAGGTTTTAAAACCATGAAAATGTTCTGTTTTACGGTCCCTCTGGTACATGTAAGATATTTATTTATTTACTTTTTTTTTTTTAGGACAACAGTATATCCAGCAAAAAAAAAAAAGATGTCCAAAGATGCCATTTCAAATTGTAAAGAAACCTGTATTTTTAAAGACAGCAAAAGTCAATGATTCATTTGCATTATTTAGCGTGACATGTTTACTGCTCCAAAATATTTGAAATGTTTCTAAAAATATATATATTGTGTTCAAAGGTAGAAAACCATTGTTGATGTTTTTTATCCAGACATTTAAATGGTATATATTTTATAGGAGTAATTACAATACCATGAAACCGTGAACTTTTTATCCAAGGTTATATTACCATCAGAATCTTATACCAGCCAATGCCTAATGCCATAGAGCAGGGATCACCAAACTTGTTCCTGGAGGGCCGGTGCCTTACAGATTTTAGCTCCAACTCTAATCAAACACACCTGAACAAGCTAATCAAGGTCTTACTAGGTATACTTAAAACATCCATGCAGGTGTGTTGAGGCAAGTTGGAGCTAAACCCTGCAGGGACACCAGCCCTCCAGGACCGAGATTGGTGACCCCTCCCATAGAGCAGCTAATTTGCAGCCCACGTTCCCTGGTTAGGTGTAAACAAATTAAAAACATAATAATGCAACAAGCATGTATGTACAGAGCCACAAACAAAATGTAAGTAAATCTGCACACTAAAGGAAAATGTAAGTTTGATCAACCTGAATGAATCATACTTAATGTTCACATTTCTGTAAAGACTTTGGCGCTTGTTTTAGCTTTAGAGAAAAAAAAAAAACATAGCTCCTTATGTCTACCTTTTTGCTGCCACCCTCTCTCCTGTCGATTTTGACACCCATGAGTCACCCATGTGGCACTTGAGTCTTCCACAGTAAAGCCTCATTTATACGTTTGTGTCGACAAGTGATCGCTGCACCCAGTATTACAGTTTTGGCACCGCTAGCGTCCAAACACAGCTTCAGCCTCTCACGTTACAGAAGGGAAAGGCTCAGCAAATCACATGTCCTTTTCATGTCCATATGTCTTTGAGAGAAGTTGGACTCAAGTATGTGATTTAACCCTACAGTACGTTAATGAGAGTTTACGAACCAATATTTATTTTTGTTTTTAAATTATTGGTTGATACAGTGCAGTGCATCAGGAAAGTACTCATAGCGCTTCACTTTTTCCACAGTTGTTTATGTTACAGCCTTATTCCAAAATAGATTAAAGTCACCCATTTCCTCAAAATTCTACACACAATACCCGTTAATGACCATGTGAATAAAGAATTTTGAAACTGTTGCAAATGCATAAAAAAAAATAAATAAAATAAAAACTGAAAAAAATCACAAATGTACAAAAAGTATTCACAGCCTTTGCTCAATCATTTGTTGATGCACCTTTGGCAGCAATTACAGCCTCAAGTCTTTTGAATATGATGCCACAAGCTTAGCACCCCTGTTTTTTGGGAGTTTTTGCCCATTCCTCTTTGAAGTGCCTTTCAAGCTCTATCAGGTTGGAAGGGAAACAATGGCAAACAATCCAGAAATGTTAAATGAATTTGGGTGTGGGCTCTGGCTGGGCCACTCAAGGACATTCAGGAGTTGTTGTGAAGCCACTCCATTTATATTTTGGCCGTGTGCTTTGGGTCATTGTCCTGCTGGAAGATGAACCGTCACCCCAGTCTCAGGTCAAGAACACTCTGAAGCAGGTTTTCTTTCAGGATGTCTTTGTACATTGCTGCATTCATCTTTCCCTCTATCCTGACTAGTCTTCTAGTTTCTGCTGCTGAAAAACATTCCCACAGCATGGTATTAGCCTGGTGATGAGCGGTGCCTGGTTTTCTCCAAACGTAATGCCTGGCATTCACTCCAAAGAGTTCAGTTTTAGTCTCAGACAAAAAAATTTTGTTTCGTGGTCTGAGAGTCCTTCAGATGCCTTTTGGCAAATTCCAGGCAGGGAGTGGCTTCTGTCTGGCCACTCTACCATACAGGCCTGATTGGTGGATTGCTGCATAGATGGTTGTCCTTCTGTAAGGTTCTCCTCTCTCCCCAGAAGAACGTTGGAGCTCAGAGTGACCATCGGGTTATTGAGAACTTCCCTAACTAAGGCCCTTTTCCCCCGATCACTCAGCTTAGATGGCCGGCCAGCTCTAGGAAGAGTCCTGGTGGCTCCAAACATCTTCCACTTACAGATGATGGAGGCCACTGTGCTTATAGGAACTTTCAGAGCAGCAGAATTTTTTCTGTAACCTTCCCCAGCCTTGTGCCTCAAAACAATCCTGTCTCAGAGGTCTACAGTCAATTCCTTTGTCTTCATGCTTGGTTTGTGCTTTGACATGCATTGTCAACCCTGGGACCTTATATAGACAGGACTTTTCAAATATGTGCCCAATCAGCTGAATTTATCACAGGTGAACTACAGTTAAGCTGCTGAAACATCTCACGAATGATCAGTGGAAACAGAATGTACCCGAGCACAATTTAAAGCTTCACGGCAACGGCTGTGAATACTGATGTACATGTGATTTTTTTCACATTGTCATTATGGGGTATTGTGTGTAGAATTTTGAGGAAATAAATTAATTTAATCTATTTTGGAATAAGACTGTAACTTAAAAAAAGGTGGAAAAAGTGAATCGCTATGAGTACTTTCCAGATGCACTGTATAACTCAATAATCTGTGGATATTGGTGGGGACACATCACCTCCATCCATGCTAATTATACGCCCTTGAAGTGATGTGACACAGGGTGTAGCATATCAAGATCAGTGTCCTTCTTGCTAATCCGAGCATGTAGAGCAAACCTTTAATTGGACTGCTTATATAATCGTCACCTAAATCTGCTGAGCTAGTACTATGACACTAATTTAAGAAGTGGCTGAGAAATCTGATCTTTTGTTCAGACTTTACTTCATTTCTGCATGTTTCACCCCCTCCTCAGGAAAGGTTTTTTTTTTTTTTTTTTCTTCATACAATTACAGCAGCAAGCGTGGCTGTTCTGCTTTTCTTCCTCAGTTTTCTCACCCTGCCGAGGCAATGAAAGGTGGTCAGAAATCATCCAATTTTCTTGTTGGAGAGAAGAACAATGCTAACAGGTCCCTGAGGAAGCAGCACTGTTAGAAGGACATGCTTTTTCAGCTGTAAGGCCCCAAACTAGTTTAAAGTCAAACTCAATCGTTTTAATGATGTTCCACAGGACAGGCAGAGGGAGGGAGATTTGGCTAACTGGAATAACTGCATTATCGGCTGTCTTTTCCGACATCAGGGGGCATGGGATACTTATTGCGGACTTCTCTCTGAGTGCTGGCTTGTAGTAAGATAATGGCTTTAATTTTAAGTGGGGATTGAAAAAAAAATACTTTAGGAATTCATTAATGTAATCTTGTCTGGGACTAATTCCTGACTGGGGAAGTCGAAAAGGGAGAATAATCAGAGTGTGTCTTGCTTAATCTGCAGTTTAAATGTAAAGTCTAATTAAAACGGATTTCCTTCTCTGAGGGGCCTGTGTATCACGGATCTCTTTATGGCCTCTGTTCAGAGTTCATGATCCTCTTCGGCCTGAGCCTGTGTGTTCCTACTTGTATCTGTATGTACAAGCCAGGCACGCTGGAATGATCATTGGTGTCATTTACGGGTGGTCATGTTCACACTACTTTATGAAATTGCTGGAGGTTTCTTCATGAAATACAGAGTAAGCAGCTCTGATTGCAGAGAGTTTTTATTTAGTCAGTGTGTGTTCTAACGAGTGGCAATCCGGTGCAGGAATTAGATTTTAATGTTTTGCTGAGTGGTTGTTGCAGATGTCATCACTGGCAGAAAGTGACAACGGCAGTGTTCGCTCTTGGCTCCCAGATGTACCCAGATCGCTATCCATTCTGGTTAAGTCATGAAAAAATGCTAAAAATTGTGTTCCCAGTGCTCTTGTATGCTACTGTTGAAAATAATTTTCAGCAAGGATGCTTTAAATTGATCAAAAGTGACAGTAAAGGCATTTATAATGCTACTAAAGGATTTATGTTTATAGAAACATGTTTTTTTAAAAGATTTTTAAACTACCTGTCAAGAAAACTTTTATCAGCTTTCTTAAGAAAGTACAAGGTAGTTGATTTTTTTTTTTATATTAATAACATGAAATATTTTCACCAAACACAATGGGCTCTATTTTAAAAATCTAGGCAAATCAAATTAAATCAACGTCGAAAGTGCATGGTGCAAAGGCAGCAAGGGCATGTCTGAATCCACTTTTGCTATTTTAAGGATGGAAAAATACGGGTTGAGCTGCGGCACATGATCTAACAGGGTTGTGCTTATTCTCTTAATGAGTTATGGGTGTGTTTTGAGCATAACGTGCAATGAACCAATCCCTTTAAGAGTCAGTTGTGTCGCAATTTGCTATTTAGATGGCGGAATTTGTAAGTGAAAAATCTGAACGTTTCTGAAACTTTTAAACAGACCAGCCTCATGAATAAAGATAAAGGAGGATAAAGAATGAACCTTTACTTTCTATCTTTACTTTTACTCCTTTACTTTCGCTGATAAGCAAACAGTGTTGTACGCACTCCACTGAATACAACCATTAGCCTACATGTTTAATTTAGTGCAAAGATTTGTTTCAAAACTATTTCTAAATTCTGTTTTAATTTTCAGCAAACAAATAAATAAACAATAACAACAAAGTGTGCTCAAAAAGCTAAACACATGTTCTTATGCCCCATATGTTGATGCATACATCTCCAATACAAGATAAATGCACAAATCTAAACTTGTTTTTTTTTTAAACAAATATAAATATGCATATAATAAATACAACTGCTAATAATAATAATAATAATAATAATAATAATAATAATAACATTGTACAAATGCAAATTGTCATGAATAAACTGAAAAAAGCAGCCTGGACATGAAGAAGTCATAGAGGTATTTTATTATTATTATTATATTTATGTAGTAAATAATAATTTTTGTAACATTTTAATCCTTTTTTTCAGATATTTGTGTGTTGCTGCTGTACATCCTGCATGTATTATGCGTTTGAACCTGCATAGGCACATAACTAACGCGCTTCATATTAATGATCCCGACATAACAGTCAGTGTAATGTTGTATTAATGTTGTAATGATTATTCTTATGTGGTTTTTTTCTCATATTAGTTTTTATTATTATTAGTTCATATTAGATTTACACAAGTATAAAACAATGGTATTGAGGCTCATGGTACAGTGTCATTTCTATGTACTGAATACTTATTATTCCACTATAGATTAGGCATGGGACGATTACCGTTTTTAAGGTATACCGCGAGTTTAGAAAAGTCAACGATTTATTTTAATTATATTGTCTGACATGTTTACAGCTGTTTTATTATTACTGCTATAATATTTTAAATGTTTCTCAAAATAAAATATATTGGCTGTGTCCAAAAATCACCTACTAAGTAGGTACTGTATTTGAATTTGAATTTACTACGTAACCGATAGAAAAGTATGTTCTATACAGTATGAATGGAGCTCAGTCGTACTATGACTGCCATTTTGGAGTTCTGATTATCTCCGTATGCGGGAAATTTGAAACAGATTTGAGCTGCGGATAAGTTGAATTTTTGATTTCTGCGACTAGACCATTTGCGACCGGCCGACCGGATGCGATTTTAGGTGTTGTCCAAGTAGCTTTGTGTGCACAAGATGAGAAATAGAAGTTTAGTAGTTTTTTTTAATCAAAAAAAGTCTATCTTAAAAACATTCAACCATGGAGAATAAAGGCTCTCGCTTTTGCACTCCTTTATTTCGGAGTTTTTTTTATTATTTTTTATTTTTTATTATTTTATTATTTTATGGGTTGCATATAGGGAGGCTCGGCTGTTCAGAGAAAGACTGAAAATACGGGAGAAATACAGAAAAATACCTTTACAGGATAATAGTGGGATAGAACTGTAAAATACGGGAGAATCCTGGGAAAAATGGGAGGGTTGACAGGTAAGAAGTATGTGATTTCAGATGCTGCCATTGTGTTCAAGCGGGAAAAAAAGTTCTTGTACTTTACCCAGTCATTTAAAAAGAATGTATTTTAGAGCAGTAATCACAATACTGTGAAACCACGATGTTATTATCCAAGGATATCACACCATCAGAATCTTATACCGGCTCATTCCTACTACAGTATAGATAGGTGTATAAATAGCTTTTTATTTTAAAGCACCTTATATAATGTTTTTTGTGGGTCTATATTGTGAAATGTGTACTGAAACATCTGCTTCTGTATCATGTGCTTACACAGAACTCAAATTGTGATCTCTTTCAGAGATGGTAATTACTTTACACAGAACTATAATTATTTAGAGATTTATTAGCAGAATGAAGGTTACATAGTTAATGTTAATATAATTAAGTAATTAGTAATGGCTGGTAAAAACTCATCTTGCCATCACAAAAATATATCAGCTGAAAATAGACGGCAGTTAATTTAAAGTATTAATATTTCACAACCTTTTTTCTGTTGTATCTATTTTAGTCAAATACATTCAGCCTTTGACCATAAAATACTCCTACAAAAATATTGTTTTAATCATATGGCTCCGAACTTGAAAAATAGTGTACATCGACTGAGGTTTAGCTGCTAAATTGAGACTTATTTAAATAAAATTTAAATTCTGTGAAAATCAGGCCTTAGTTGCTGATCCATGCATTCATCGACTGACCTACAAAAACCCAGACAGTAACAGATATAGGAATGAAGCTGTCAAATTAAATGTCGAAAAATTATTCAGGCATGTGAACTTGGCTGAAAAGAGTAATTGCTCCCTCAACCCAGTGTGTAATGATAACTTAGCAAGTCAGTGTGCAGTTAAAAGTATCCTTTAAATTATATCACAGACACTTCAATCACAGTGTTATGCTTACATTTAAATTCTGACTAAAATGTGAACAAATGCTCGACCTGATTTGTTTTATCCAGCAAAAAAGTAATTATATCAATTTATGACATCACCGCCGTCATTTCTCACTTTCTCCCTCTCACTGTCTTGGCACCTTGGAAACATTCACACATGAATGGAAAAGCGATGAGTCATGCATGCAAAGAAACCAGTGAGGTCATCAACTATACGTTTATATGCTTCTGCTCGTCTACAATAATATCTTTTATTTCCTATTCTTCTCTACAGAGCAGAAGAGTCCACGGTCTCTCCTCTCCGCAGGCGGCCAGCATAGTTCTCAGCAGCTCTAAAGTCTCCCTACCAAATCAAAATCGCAGTTTCTCCATGGGGAAGCGCTGCAGGTACTTTCCAGGAGCTTCATGTCTATTGTAAAACTTCAGACAATCTGTCCTTTCTTACAAAACTGAGAGCAACAGAGGAAGGAATTCAATCAGCTATCAATATGGCACCATATAATAATGTCTAAAATGAAGCACTTATATGAAATAAAGGAATTATAATAACTGTAATTGGTAAAAACCACAGTAATTTGCTTTTTTTCTAATTATGCTGCAGATTTTTCTATGCAATGATCATTTATAAACACTGATTGAAACACTGAAAGACTTCAACAACAGGGCCTGAAAAGAATGGAGGAACTATGACGTTAATTTATGTGCAAAAAACAGAACGCAAGTTAGCATTTTAACAGTTCCGGATAACTCGTCCCAAAGTCAATGTTCTTTTTTTGTTTGTTTTTTAAATGGGATTTCGGCTAAATCACTTAAATAGGTTATCTTCTTATATATATCTTCTTTTGGGTAAATGTAAGGAAGAGAAAAGGATGTGTTTTCAATTTTGAGGACAACTTTCCCTATAAGGCTTATATAAAATCTCTGAAACAGTGACTTATGTTTTAACAGAAGCTGCTCGTTCTCCTCGAGCCCCGCTCTGAAACACAAGGTATCCAATTATCGAGCTGTCTCAAAGTGGACTCCCCCCATCCCTAGAGCAGGCCATCATCTCAGTGGAGGATCTCGAGATTCTCTACATTCTTATAAACATCTTCAGGAGGTGGAGGTCAATGATGTAATGCCACAAGCTTTGAGAAGGTGAGTAATAGAATACTACATAATGTTAATGTAAACTTGATAAAGAAATTAGAAGTTTGTTCTTTTTATCACTTCTTGCAAAAGCAGTGTTTATTTTATTTACCAGATTCCTCAGCAATCACTGGATCTTTTATGTCTTGTAATTTTTTTCAATTGTTTTACATTTTTATACATGACAATCATTACTTTAGATTACATTACATTGGAAATCTTCTACCATGTCTTTATGTATTTTAGCAATTTAAAGGAGTTAATGAATATATTGGTATTGTTTTCAGCCTTGTTTCAGACTTTAATTTTAAATTACATTTGTTTTAAATACTGTAATAGTTGTTCACAGACCCCATGCAACCTCACCCACATGTTCTGGTCGTTCCTCAAACTGTCACAATTATAGTGGTTATTTTTTAAGGCATATTGGGTTTTAATCTAAACCCAATTCACAAGCAATGTTATCACGTTTTCCTCCTTTGTTGCTCATAAAATAATTCTCCTAATGTGGAAAACACACCGGCCACCCTCAACTAAAGTTTGGTTACATGACATGTTAAGTCTTCTGAAATTGAAGAAGATTAAGTTGTCTCTCAGAGGCTCATCTCATAGTTTTATACTCATTGGAGGCTAGTACAAAATCATTTTCATGATTTAACACCTCTTGAAGTGATTAATTAAGAAGTTATTTTAAGGTCAAAATTAGACCTAACCTTTGCATTTATGTATACTCCAGTATTGTCATGCCCTAAATTGGACTCACTTGTCCAATTCACCACAACTAAAATCACAATAACCAATAAGTAGGTAGCACAGTATTTTTATGGTGACCGTTTATTTTATTTACTTATTTAATTTATTTTGCCTAGCATTGTAATAGTATTATTGTATTTACTTGTACAATAAAATAAAAATAAATAAATAAATATATATTTTTGGATTATTTATTTAGATTTATTTATTTATTAATTTAAATTTTTCATGTTATGGTTAAATAATCATGAAAGCGTTTAAAAGAAAAAAGCAGAAATTGGATATTTGCATACAATGAATGCTATTCACTTGTGTTTAATAAATAAAGTTTATTAAAAAATTATTATTTTAAATAGCATCTTAAAATGTCAAATTAACTAAATTTAAGCAAACATTCCAAAGTGTTCCCATTTTTGTTCAAAATAAATGGGCAAATTAGGGACATAATATTAATTTTTTATATATATATAATTATTAATATGACATTTATAAAGGATAGTTCACCCAAAAATAAAGAAGTCTGTCATCATTTACTCTACCTTAACTTTTTCCAAACTCGTTTGACTTTTCTTCTATTAAAATCAAAAGCAGATATTTTGATGAAAGCTAAAAACCTGTAATCATTGACTTCCTTAGTAGTTGTTTTTACTAATATGGAATCAATGGTTACAGGTTTTCAGCTTTCTTTAAAATATATTTTTTCTAACAGAAGAAAGAAACTCATAAAGATTTAAAACCACTTGAGAGATTATAACTTTAACAAAATATTTGTTATCATTAAACATCAGTTAATGCATTAACTATCTTAACCATGAGCAATAGATTTGTTCATCGTTGTTAGCAGTACTTCATAAAAATCAACAACCTTCATAATCCATAATAATGCATAATACATGATCATACAATCTTCAGTGCAAACCTTAGCTCAGATCCATGAAATAATGTCCACAGACATTCATGGGCTATTATTTGTCTCCCCTGTTAATCTCCATTATTAATTGACTTTGTTATGAAATAAGCCAAATAAAATGAGTAAAGTTCACAAGACCAAATGTGCCCATAATTGATGGATGGTCCAGATTCGAACCCTTTAAATCAGAATCCTACAGAACACACAAAACGCAGCCAGAAAGCGAAACTAGATTTCATTGACAGGCCCCATGGCATAAATAATGTCCCTCAGTTAAGTAGGGTATATGTGAGCAAGTAGTGCTTAGTCTTGAATTTCCAAGCAATGTTCTCATTACCACTCCAACTTGATCCAGCTTCAGAGTGACTTGTAAACTCCTCTCACTGCCAAACTCTCTCTATTTGACCTATTTCCATAATTTACATTCTTAAACAGTGCAGCTTTGAGCTTGGAGACTGTGATCAAGCACATACATACTAACACGCTTTACAGAAAGGGGGTTTTCTATTTCTCAGTGTGTCAGCAGCAGGGTTCTCTGTGTTTTTATGTTAAGTCTGCTGGGTTAGTTGGACTTTTGCTTAATTAATTTAAGCACACGTCTGAAAGCACTAGAAGCACTGTAGGGGTCCACAGTATTCAGCTATTGTTATTATTGTTCATGATTAATGAAATATTGATAAGCCTCTCTGAACCTTTCTCAGGCCAGTCACGGTTGGCCCGGAGAGAGACAGGCTGGGGCTGAACTGACCTATTTCTAGACTTAACAGCTTTAAAACACCAACACCATCCCCGAACCTCTCTCTTGTTGCCATGGAGACACCCTCCAGTCTAATGGAGAAAAAAAAGAAGCGAGAAGAGGGGAAAGAGAGAGAGATGGGCAAACAAACCTCGCTTATCCCTCTCTCTATGACAGCAGGACCCCCACAGAATGTTGTCAGTTTTATATAAATAAAAAAAAAAATCTCTGCAAAGACACATATTTACCTGTCAGAGATGAAATATGGATCGAAACTGTTTGTGTGCATGTGTGCCATTACTGTGGTTATATTTAGATATTGTTTTGATTTGCTGAGATCTGCCGGATTAACCTGCAGCGAGAATACACTTTTAATACCCGTGCATTGTGTTATAGGGCTCAATTATTTAAGCCCTGTTATTTAACAGTCTTTGATGTCAGACAATAACTCTTTGGTTAGACGAGCTGGGGTTTCTGGGAAGTGACAATACATAGCATTTGAGGCTTTAATATTCACTTTTTACCAAATGCAAGAGTGATTTGCTGCTGTATTTAAATGTCATCATGTCAAAGTTTAGATGAGATGGTGATAACCGTGCCAGCGTGAAGAAACTCACAATATTTTCTATGATTTTTACATCTGACAAACCCTAGATAACCCACACGGGTCACATCAGAAGATCTGATTGCTACTTCATGGCAGACTCCCAGCAAAAAAAAGAAAAACAAGATTTTGTGCTGTCACCACAAGGTGTGCTGGGTTTGATAAGCAGTCGCCTCCTGCAGATCAAAACACAGCTAAATCAAATAGTGTAGTCTATATTAACTCATAGGTCTGGCTGAGGGATACACAGGCTTAAATGTCAATGGATTAAATCCACTGCATGATAAACCCAGGAGAATTGAGAAAAACCTCAGTGTAATGAGCATGTAATGAAAATCTTTTTTCTAGATGTGTATTACAAATCTTATTGTGAACAATTAATCCCTGCATTTGTCATTTTGACATAATAATGTTTAATCAAAATGTAATCTACTGGTCTTCCCAGTAAAAATGACTTCTCTAATCATCAAGTCTGTCAAACCCCACCCCTGCAAGAGTTTGACATCTCAACATCCAATCAACACTCAATGCACAGAATTTAACAAGGTATATAAGACCCCGTATGTCTCTATACATAAGGCTTTTGAGTCACAAATAGTAGTTTTTACAGATTATTAATAATTAGCATTATATTTATAACTTAAAAGAAACTAAAATAACGCCTAAAACAACTGGTCTCAACTTTCAAATGTTAACAAAATATGCAAAACCATAAATCTAGCGATAAATCCAAGTGAACAAACACACAAATTAAATAAATGGGCTATATGCAGAGCTAAGTGTTTTTAGCCAATGATGAACATCCAGTGAGAGCTTTATGTGACTATTTTTAATATTATAAGGTTCCTTTTAGAGCATCGATGTTGTAATGCAATTCAAATAAAATCAGATAAATAAACTTAAGCATTCATTTGGTTGTTAAAGTGTAAAGAGATGAAAGACCGATTAAACGCAGGCTCCATCATTGGCAACAGGCTAGTGCAGAAACTGCACTAAAAAACTGGGATAAAATTCATTTCCATGTTTTAAAGACATGGCACAAAAAATATATAAATTTTTGCACTGCTTTTTGTTTGGTCTGATACCCACTTCATATCCTATCTCAGCCAGGCAGTGAAGATCGCTGTTTTTTTTTAAAGAAATCAGATCTTAAACGCTGCAATTTTGTATGGTGATGACAATTTACCAGAACCCCTGGGGCTGGCTGACTGAAATAAAAAGTCTGTGTGCATATTCTCCATTGTTTTAAGTTTTCCAGGCACACCCTGATTTACATAGAGCCTTAAAGGGACAATTTGGCCAAAAATTCACTGTTTACTCACCCTCATGCCATTTCAAACCTTTATGAGTTTTTGAATCCGTTGCACACAAAAGAACACATTTTGAAGAAAGCTGAAAACTTAATAATAAAAATACACTATGAAAGTAAATAGTTAAACATTTTCAGCTTTCTTCAAAGATTTGTTGTGTTCAACAGACAGAAGAAAGTGAAATGGTTTAAGTAAAATAGCATAGCCCTAACTGTATACTTTTTAGAAAAATGGTTCTGAAAGTAATTAAGCCAAGAGCAGTGTGTGATTCTGTTAATTAACAGCTGCAGTCACATTAACACCTAATGCACTAACCCAAAATACTAATATGCGTGTAGTCTTTCTCAAATGTTAATATTTAATTAAAGAGATAGTTTATCCAAAACTGAAAGTGAACCTACCATTTACCTACCCTTAAAAGTCACCTATGATGAAAATCAACTTTTGTAAGCTGTTTAGACAGAACTGAGTAGGTAACACAGGAAGTCTCTTTTTTTTTATTTATTTTTTTTTACTGACGTTAAAATAGGATCCAAATCCCAGTGATTTTGAGGCACACCGCAATGTGACGTAGGAATGCATTTTTCATTTCCACAGAACAATTTTTGCGAAGAAACTGGGATTAAAACATATGTTACAGCTATCTGCTATCAACTGCACCTCAACAATTAAAATTATAAGTTTAAAATGTTTTTAAAACAATGCATGTTTGTATTAAAGACAGTAAAATAGCTATTTAATTCTAAACCACAATAATCACCATAGCCAGATGGTGTCAGTAAACGCGCATATATATGTCTGTGTACTGCAAACGGAATTTGTGTGAGACTTATCATTTTAGAAAGGCTTGAATAGACTCCACCAAATACATCAAATAAACTTACTTGGAAAACACTATGGAAGTCAATGGCTATCTGTTTCCAACATTCTTCAAAACTCTTGTGTTTTGAAGAAAGGCAGAATTGTATTTTTGTGGGGGGTGAACTTTTCTTTAAAAGGGTACATATTTTCACCCTTTTTTATGATTTAAGATCTCCAGAATATGTCTGTAAAATTTCAGCTTAAAACACCCATCAGATTAGTAATTATAACTTTTAAAATATTGGAAGTTTCTGCTCTGAACACAATGTAGCTGTTTTTGTTGCCTGTGCCTTTAAAGATAGTTCTCTCCGCCCACCGTTCCAAATACTTGTCAGAGTGTGCCTCAATCTTCGGTTACGCGTGTCAGAATAACAGCACAGGGACGACATGAAGGAAGCAGATCTCACAAAATGTTTGTGAGAAATACCACAGTAAGAACATGCCCAATGATTATTTGATGAATTTGTTGTGGAGTTAATTCAAGCCTTTCTGCAAGAACAAGTCACAAAAAAATGTCTTTTCAAAATTGACACATGCACACACAGACAAACACAAGTTTAACTGCACTGTTTTTGCACAGCAAGTGTGACGGGATACATGGTAATATTCACTGATGTATGGGTATCTGTTATGTTAATGTATAGAATAAACCTGATTTAACATCCACAAACCATGATTGAAGCATCTTCTTTTATAATACTGACATGCGGCCGTGGTGATCAAATAAATATGGTAAAATCGCTATAATGATTGATGATCACAGAGAGCTGAACTGATCTTTTAATCCCAGTGGCTCTGTGCACGTCCTGTCTCGTTGATATGACTATACGCATTACTGTGGTGACATGTTAATAAGCAGCTTTCAGTCAATTTGGTGGACGGGATAACAGCACTCCAACATCATGTGCGGTCGGCCTCAAAATGGGAGGGATTTGGATCCTATTTTCTTTCTATTTCCTATTGTCTTTCTATCACTCCAATATGACTCTGGACACACTATACCAACACACAGTTCTGTCCAAGCAGCTTACAAAAGATAACACATGAAAGTTTGTGCTGTTGTCTCAGTTTGGTATTTTAATGTTGCTGCTTCTTGAGGATGAATATTTTAAAATAGCAAAATCCACAAAATCAATGTAATTGATAATGAGATGAGAATAATAATTCAGTTTTTTTTTCCTCTAGGTGCCAGTCTCACTTGGACAGCAATCAACAAAACCGTTGCAATTTGAATATGCAAATTATGCTCTCCGCCCATTCCAAAGGGAAGATGAGCTACACTGATGTTCCGTGCACTCGTCTCGACCAGGGAATGACCTTTCCTCCCCCTTCTTTCCGAGCCCACTCTGTACCCATAATCCCTTCCGTCCAGGGACCAGATTTTGGGGGCGGAGGCGGGAACAAGCTGCATAATGTGGGTATGGGATCTTCCAGCTACAACCCAATCAATCCTGAGACTGAGTCAGTGGCAAATTCCAGCCGATCACTTGCCAGCTCCTCTGCAACCGTGCAGGAGCCACAGACACTCACCTGCTCCGAATCGGCACTGATGTCAAGGGGCCAAATCAAACACAAAAGCCTTGTTACCTACACAACGGCCTTGGGATCAGGCACAAGCTCGAGGAGAGCTAAGACTGTCATTTCAATGACTGTGCTGGGAACAGGGGTGAAAACCACGCAGTACGCCGCCAGCCTGCTGTCTAAGACTACCGCAGGACGGGAGGAGCATTCCGCTTTTGAGGAAGTAAAGCAAGGTGATGGTTTACAAACTTCATTCACGGGGGACGAAAAAGACAGCTCATTTTCCAGTGGGGTAAGAGGCGAGACTTCCCTCGACCATCCCAAGAGCTGATTGGATAAATGCAAAGATGGCTTTGAAAACTCTATATGGAAGGGGCCAGGACGTCCCCGCTTCTTGTGCAAGACACTTATTTTTGGAACTATTTTACTGCATTGTGAAGTACTACAACTACTGATTTAAAACACTGAATTATTTGACGACACAATGTGAATAGATATATGAACGAATGAAGACTTTGGTGGGATGTTGATCTAAAGAGGTACCCAAGAAGATTTATATGCCACTATTTAACAAAAAGCTTCAATTTAGAAACCAAATAGTGTGTCATCTCAATGTTGTTTCTCTACTGTAAAGAAGAAAAAAATATAATAGGTGTCAAATCTATATGTATGTCATATATTCCGATGTATATGACATACTGAGTGACGAAAATAAAGATGCAAAACACGGTAATGCCGAAGCTTTTTTTCCAATAACTGCTGTTCTATAATCTCAACCCAGCTCTGTCTTTTTGTCTGTTTTGCTTGAGGTCTTGAGAAGAAAAGAAAAAAAAAGCAGCAGTTTCTGAATAAAATCTGAATGTCACCCTGTCATTTGATCAGAGTATGTGACCGTGCGATCGATGTTGTGCTTCTAACACCTTTTGTTTTTAGCAGGGAGCTCTCAAGCAGGTATGCGCAAATATCGCCTGAAACGATCCGAACGAACGTGCTGAATGGAGAGAAACCGGCAGAGTCACCGTCTGTCTCCATGGCAACAGAGTCAGATGCGGCAGCCTCTCTATCCAACAAGACCATCAACGGATTTAATCATTTACTTGTTTATCTCCTGTGAAAGTAGCTCTTGCTAATTAAGCCCAGACTCATTATTTTGCATCAGCTATTTTGAAACCGCAAAAGGAAAGGGAAAAAGAAAAAAACTTTCCTTAACTAGCTCGTTTTTTTTTTTCAGGTGAGGGTGGAATTAATCAGCAGAAAGATTAAAGCAAAGTGTCACTGATGTCTCTCATCGTGTTTACCTCAAACGAGGGCAACACGAGCGAGTCGCACCCTGAACGCTTTATGAATTATCGGGCTAATTTTCTGAGCGTGAGCCTCAGCGTGAGGTGACATTATAATCCAAATAGGAAAAAACAGAAAGAAACACACATCCGCTGGCTGTCTGCGCAAACTATTTCTTACACCCAAGTCCCAGAGAAGCAACATTTGCGTTTTTTTTTTTTTTTTTTTTGCAGGCAAACATATTTGTTTTGTTCTCAGGCCTCGCTACAGATCTTCTGTGAGCCATTGGCTTTGAAACTCATAATGAATGATCCTTTCATTTTGTGAGAACATTACATATATTCATCAAACAGCTTAATATTCAATCTCAAGTCAATCTCTGCTCCGTTGGGAGGAGGCCATGGAAACAATGATGAAATTTACACTCTGAAAAACGTAGAGTTATATATTCAACAATGCTTGAGTTAAGAATTTGTTAGGTTATTTTTAACCTTTATTGGGTTATTTACATACACTCTAAAAAGCGTTAGGTTATTTTATCACCACAACCATGGGGTTATGTGTATTGGCTTGTTGAGTTATTTTTTAGAACATGGGAATTCTTCTGCAGTCCGTTATTTCAGGGGCAACCCAAGAGTTTTGTTGTATACAATTGCCACAGATGACTGAACTGTCAACACAGCAGCATAGGGTCATTATAAAAGGTAAGTTTCATGATTTTTGATGTTAATTAATCTTATAAAATTAAGTTTTATGTACACTCTAAAAAACATTTTGTTATTTTCATTAATTAATCCATTGGTTGACTTAAACATATTTGGTGCTAAGTTGAGTTATTTTTAACCTTTATTAGGTTATTTAATAATAACTCAATCAGCTGGGTTAAATATTTGGTGCTTCGTTGGGTTATTTTTAACCTTTATTTGGTTATTTATTTAATAACTGAACCTGTTGGGTTAAGATTTCAACAGTCAACTGATTTAACTGACACAGAACAGCTGTATTAATATGCATACGTAATGCTGTTTTTGCATTGTAACGTTTATTTAAGCTATAACGCAATAATATTGTTGTTATTTTTTAAATTACATCTCCATTTTGTTTTTTTTTTTTGTTTTTTTTCCACCAGCACTCTTAATTATTGATCATACAAACGCGTGCTGCATAGCCAACAAAACCCTTTCTCTACCTCCTGTGTTCATCTCTAAAGTTTTTTATTTTTCGGGGGGAGTAAATGATACACATATTTGGGATATTCGCCTGTCATTCTCGCCTTTAGGACCCAGCGGAGACCTTTATTTATTCACACAGCCATAATTCTAAAATTTTAAGTAGTACTTCAATAGTAATACCAGAATGAAAAATAAAATAACATTTAATCAAAATAACCCAAAGCATTGGGTTAAATTATATAAGCCAATGCATTGGGTTAAAATAACCCATTGTTGGGAAGGTGCTATAATTACCTATAGTAGGGTTATATATGGGGTATTTTTAACCCAGCTATTTTAACAAAGTACTTACACTTCAAAAAATTTAAATAAAACTAACTTCCAACATTTTAAAACTGAATATGTAATACATATATGTCATTTGAATCACTCTTTACATTGTTAATGTTAACTTGGATATTGCTAGCACAGTGATCACCGTAACGTTTAGCATTTAAAGCATTATTTGGTAGACTAACGTTAACTTTAGTGAAATTAGCTAATGTTTTGATAACTGTAAGCTCACTTTCGATTAAAATCACACTGACTTTGTTACATTAAAGTTATCTCCGTTTTAGTCTCTTATTGTCACTCCCTATTAAAGAGTACAGACTCCAGATTAGTATTAGAATGGTTGTATTTTGCCGTTATTTAGTGTAATTGTGTCACTGTAGATTTTGTCATCTTGCGTAACCTCATGATCATAAAATTGATACACAAAAGCTGAAATCAATTGCTTTCGTTAAACGTTAAACTGTCACAGACAGAAGGGGGCAGCAGTTGCTATTGTTATTCTTGCTTTGGCATTTGCTACAGCAGTGATACTGAAAACGCGGAAGTGAAACGACGCTTGCGAAAAATAACCCTGGTTCGACATGGTAAGTTTGGCAAAATCATGGCCATTCTGTGAACTCGGGTAGGTCAGCCAGGGTTTTGCAACTCAAAGCATCCTATTTGTAGTAAGACAGTGTAGTAAGGTTATATAAATGAAAGTCAGTGCACCAAAAACATGGGTTACTTTGCTTTTACTGTAGTAAAACTGTGATATTTTTGCAGGGGATGATCTAATTAAAAATGTAATTAAAATGTAATTAAAATTATACAACCCAATGCATTGGGTTAAAATAACCCAGGTGGGAAGGTGCTATAATAACCTATAGTTGGGTTGATTTTAAACCAACTATTTTAACTGAGTACAAAGAGCTGGAGTCCTGTGTGAATTAAATTTTTTTGGAACACTGCAGCAATGCTATTGCATGTGTTTGGGTTTCTCCTCTATACTGATATATTAATAAAGGCAGGATGTCTCTTCAGGCAGACTGCTAACATTAGAGAGAGTACTAAAGAGTAGACCAACAGATGCTGCTGGGAAATGAGTGCAGCGTGGAGCACAAAGCGCAGAGAACACAGACGCAATGAGGGCAGAGGCAAGAAGTGAAACATATCTGTCACCTAGAATGAGCTGCGGTAACTTTTTAAATGACTCTTTTCACACCAATGTACCTTTGGTTTATCTAGTTACCTTTTTTGATTCATTTGAAGAATTTTCACTCCCTCCTTCTCTCTAGACGACTGGCTCAGAATTAAACTTGTGTGGAAAATGTGTAATTTTCCTAAGACTGCTATAAGCAAAAAAAAGCGTTCACAATCCAAATCACAGCCCCAACCGAAAGGCGCATTCTGATGGATGACTTGCTTTTTCATTATTCAAGAGATAAAAGATAATGAATAATGAGTGTGTTCAGCGATACGCTAGAGATAAACAGATTGCTTATTTAAAATAGTTTTGAAAGGATGTGAAGAACTTCTCTTGTTTGAAAACAACACGTTTTATATTGCAAATGGGATGTTAAGCAATGTCAACTTGCAAATAGTGCAATGAAGTCTATGATGAAGTGGAAGTTATTTGCACATTTCACAAAGAAATATGAGGAACATTTGTGTTTTTAGCATATGAAAACATCTCACTAAACGGGCAGTATTATTTATTGGTTTACAGCTGACTTTTTTAACATATAGTTGTCTCTTGTATAGGTTTCTCGGTGTGGTTTATCTTTTTTTTTAAGCGCATTGCACAGATACCAGTAAGTGTTATTTTACAATAATTAATGCCCTTAAATTTCTTACAAAAAAACAGCGATAACAGAATTTTCTTTGACATTAATTTTTTCCATCTTGTATAAAAAGCGTCTGAAAATCTGCTAAAAAGAGTACACTGTGGAAGTAATGAATGATAGATATAACAATGAATGATAGATATAAATCTACTGATTTATAATAATGTATATAAAAACACATATTCTACATTTATATAGTAAAATATTTTACATGGATTGTTAAATAAAATTAAACACTCATGTCACCTAAAAGTTAATAACCTCCCATATAAGCTAATTTCAAATGATATTTTTCATTTTCATTTAAAACTTGTTGAACTAAAACAAAAATTAACACCTAAAATACTACATAAAATCACTAAAACTTTATATGAAAATTAAAAGCTTTTCAGAATATTCATTGAGAAAAGCTATCATTTCAAATGATAAAATCTAAATCAGACAGCGTTTCAAGTGTGTTTGTCTTGGTTATAGGAGCTTCCAGTACAAAAAGAACAAACAGTACAAACACATTGCAGACATAAACAGAAAATAGTAACATAATAAATAACAATAGTAATAAAAAATAGATAATAATTAATTTTTCTAGACTGTTCAATGTGCAAATGTGGTATTTAAAGGTGGTTCCGTTGGGAAATAAGCATGGAGGTGAAAGTTCTTGTGTTTTTTTTTTTTGTTTTTTTTTTACATTAATACTTAAGCAGTTAGATCACTAGTAGGCATGGGCTAGTAAAAGAATCTGAAGGTATGATAACATTGGACAAAAATAACACGGTTTCACAGTACTATGATTACTAATATGATATTATTAAATGTCTGGGTAAAAACAACTTTTTTCCCCATTGAACACAATATACCAAACAAATAACAGAATTTTCTTTAATACTAATTATTTCCATCTTGTATAAAAAGGGTCAGAAAATCTGATAAATAGAGTACTGTGGTTTAATGAGAGAGTTAAGTAAATGAATGATAGACATAACAATGAATGATAGATGTAAAACTACTGATTAATAATCATTTATATAGAAACACATTTTACATTTATATTGCAAAATATTCATATTTTTACAGGGCTTATTAAATAAAATTAAACACCTGTTACTTAAAAGGTAATAACCTCATATATAAACTAATACAATATTATATAAAGTAATATTTTCATTTAAAACTTGTAAAACTAAAACAAAAATTAGTACTTCATCATTAAGTTACTAAAAAGTCTATAATGAAGTAGACGTTCTTTGCACAGTTCACAAAGAATTATGATGAAGATT